GTGTAAGACTGTCTGATGTTGGGAATTATGATAATAACTATGGGAGAGGATTTCGGACTAGGTGCGTTCTAATAAGTCTTCCGGAAAATTATACCAAGTTGCGACAACAAGATTAACCCACTTTTACGAATCTTTTCTTTATGCACTTTCATACGAAACGAAGGTCTCCCCAATAAGTAATTTAGTCGATTGTACTAGCAAATACAACTATATTGCATCGACAATTCTACCACAGAAATGGGAAATGGGAAAGATTCAGGTGGGGACGATGATGAGAACAGCTTAGGCGAGGTCGAAACTACAGTCCGCTGTGAATGAGAATACTGTTTGAGAAGCAATGCTATGTAAAATTCAATGAAAATGTGAGACATATCCATAATCTTAGACAAGATAGAATAAAAACAATTCTTATTCAAAATTTTTCGTTTATAAGTAGTGTTTCGATTCTAACAGTAAATCAGTTATTTGAGATGTATTCACAGTATTTCGCGTAAGGTGATAAAGGACTGTAAGTAAATTTTCCCACAATAATATGAGCAGAGCAGATGCTTCATCGAAAATTCCACCCAAGAATGTGATATTGGAAAATGCCCGGCCTTTCTTGAAATTCACATCTGCTCTTCGACCCAAGGGCACTTGCATCAATGTGGTGTAGTGGTTAATGTGTCGAGAGTATACGCTGCACTGTCATGGTTCGAGTCCCGCTGGAGGTGTTGGTACGACCTAGGCGAGGTCGAAATTGTAGCTCACTTTAGCCTAGATGAGAAAAGCTTCTACGTGTAAAATTCAATTGAAGCATCTCCTCTACCCATATCATTGTGGGAAAATTCAACTACCTGTTCTCCATCACCTTAAACGAAATTTGATGAATATAACTCTAATAACTTATTCAAAATACCATTCTTCTCATCGTCAATCCAACCTCAAATTTTATATTGGAGAGGTACGACATACCTTGAAATTCATTCTGCTCTATATCCCACTGGCACCCATGGCAATGTGGCGCAGTGGTAACATCGAAATTAAACGATAAAACACCATAATTCGATTCCCATCAGGGGTGCGGATCTGTCGTCCAGGCTCGATAAGGATACCTTTTAAGGGAAAGGGCTAAGCGAACTTTACTGGCTATGGGAAAATTCAATCATTAGTCAGGACTATGAGAGTTCCATGAAATCAGCTCTGAGTTAACACTAAAGCACAATACCGTTACACTATTGCCACTATGTTTCGTAAGATACTAAGCTCTTACTGTTCTGAG